GCTCATAGCCGTGTTTTTCTTTATTTAGTTCGAGTCATTCAATGTGTCTATGACTAGTGTGTGCCTACGGTTGTATGCCGTCTATGACTTGCAAAATTCAAATATTTTTCACATATATTTAGCCAGGTGTGCCGCTATTTTTTCATGTGTTCCAAGGTGTGCCGTTGGCAAAAAAACGGTTGAGAACCACTGCTAGCATTCAATGTGTCTATGACTAGTATGTGCCTACGGTTGTATGCCGTCTATGACTTGCAAAATTCAAATATTTTTCACATATATTTAGCCGGGTGTGTTCCAAGGTGTGCCGTTGTCAATAAAAGGTTGAGAACCACTGCTAGCATCATGCATGTAAGTTTTGTTAACAATGTTATCGTGCTTAGTCGAGAGCTCTAATAAATCATGCATGTATTTTTGTTAATAAACTTAACCTGGAAGTACATACCGTCTGCGAGAGCAACGTAAGCAATGAAATGAAAATGGGGTTAAACATTCTACTGTTCCGCGCCGACTGGGCATACACTATATAGTGTGATATGAAGAAACGTTTTCACGGGAAACGGCCTGCTCTTATTTCGATTTCCAACTTTCAAGGGGTCTTTTACGTGTACACCGATTTGTACATACCTCCGATATTCGTCCCATCGGAACGACTATACGTTGACTCTTTCCATGCCATCCGTATAACTCCACTTACATGGATGAACCACATCGTAAAATCCCAGAGAACTTTGGTAACTTTGGAAAGAAATGTCACGGATCGCCGACTGTCAATAGGATTTGCCCTCTCATGGCCCCGATGCGACACACCAAAATTGAAATCAATACTTTAAAACCCGAAGCCTTTGTCGCATTCAGGACATTTCCGTCAATGGGGATAACGAAAGGTTGTGGAGAAATCAATGCTTCACACCAAATATGAAAAAGACCCACTATTGCATTATGGGGGCATAACTCTGGAACAGAAAGTGTGTGTGTGGGGGGGGGGAGAGGGGGCGGCCAGAGTGAGAGAGAGAGAGAGAGAGAGAGAGAGAGAGAGAGATTTAACGTCCACTCGACACAAACTAGGTCATTTTATTTCAATAATTCGCGGGGTGCCCGGAGAAAACCCATGAGGCTGGACAGGCGACCAAACACCTTGGCACGTACACCCGGGGAATCGAAAGCATGCCAGCTGACTCAATGACAGACCTTATGATACAGCACGCACACGCTAACCATTCAGTCATCCGATTATCGATTAGGTTCGTCCTCTCACACTTAAAACAAAGTATGAAACAAAAAAGTCTTTATAAAACTATAGCCTGTATTGTCTTCACAAGGATTTCGGAAAAACTGGCATTATTCTAAACCCGAAGGTAAAATGTATACCAAAATAAAACTCATCCGATCTTCTGAATATACAAATGGCAAGGTATGGCAAACGGGTGTTTAGCTACAGACGTATACTGCATAATAAATACAAAACAAGAAAAAGGTAAATATGCATATATACTCTTCAAAAAAAAAGTAGGGGATATTCAGAAACAATAAAAAACTGCGGAAATGCACTGCGGTTTTTTTTAGAGGTAACCAGTGTATGTTAATAACAGACTAATTGCCTACACATGAACATAAACAGTTCATATGGGCGGCCTATTTTACGGCCCCATTTCACTCGCAAAGAGATACACTGTCAAAATTGAAAATGGACGTTTTAGATTTTTGTCTTAATAATGAGTAATTGCTCCACCAATCCTCAGACATTCAGAAATCCGTCGTGGCATGCTCCTAATCAACCGTCCAATTACGATTTGGGGCAATCTGACCCACTCCTTTTGCAGTGCCAGGGCCAATTCTTGCAGTGTTGTCGATGGACGTTGACGTTGACGTCGACGAACACGTCACCCAATCATGTACCACACATTATCTATACGGGGAAGGTCAGGACTCATGGCTGGCCAACGCATATGGACAATATGGTGAAGCGCGGTGGGCACGGGCATTATCATTTTGAAACGTCGACCTGCACGTTGAGCAAAAGTCAGAACTATCGGTGCCAGGATGTGATCACGGTAGTACACACCAGTGACCCTTTCTTGAACATGCTAATTTTTTTTATTTTCTAAAAATAAATTTTATCGATATATTAACATACAGTTAAGTTAAACAAAAACACATTTTAGAAATCTGATGACAAATTTCGGATTTGTAAAAAAATATATATTAATTTTAAGATACAAATGTTAATTTTAAGATACAAATGTTAATTTTAAGACACAAATGTTAATTTTAGGGTACAAATGTCGAAATACGACAACTAATGAAGAAATAAGAATTAAAGACTATGAATTAGGAAAAAAGAACTAAGAACACTGATTAAAGAGCTGTTTGGTCTTCTATACACTTTTTACCATGATTCATAATGCTCCTTTCAAGTAGCGCGAACTCTATAACTAAAGACTTTGATATTATCTCATGGTTTACATTTTAGTCCCAATAAAACTAAAAATATTGTTAACTAGGAAAACATCAATCCATCCAGACGTTATTTTCAAAAATACAGCAGTTGTAAATACTCATTGTCCTTTGGGATTAACAATTCAGGCTGATGCATTATGGTCAAAACAGATTTCAAATATATACCAGGAGGTTTATCAGTATACCTTGCGCATACTCAGGTCGTTCTGGATCCACTACACAAGCCCAGGATCGATACATTCGTATATAGGTCCTGCGAAATCGAGGACAAACGGCCTTTCTGTAAACTTGTACCAAGTTACAAGAATTCGAGTTACACCCCAAACGATTACAAATCGGCTACATGCAGCCCATTTGCATTCGCGACGATCGCGTATTGTGTATCCATTAAGGCGCCAGCATATGACAAACAGGCGTAATGGTGTAGACAGCGTAGAAATTGGGGTAATCGTTGATGGGCGCGTGTTATGTTCTCAGATGAGTCCAGATTTACTCTGGATTTCAGCGAAAGGCGTGCTCGCGTTTGGAGGCGTGTAAGTGAACGTCATGCTAACGTTAACGTCAGACAGCATGACAGATTCGGGCGTGGGTCTGTGATGGTGTGGGGAGGAATCACCATGACAGGCAGAACGGACTTGTATATAGTACATTTACATTTCATCAGAGAAATACAACAAAAAAACAATTCTCAAACAACAAATGTACAAATACAAATCTCCAAATACAAATCTTGCAAACCATTTCTCTAAAAACATTTCTCGAAATCCATCGAACCGGAACATTATGACGACATAAGCGGAAATCAACCTGGCATACAATAAGTCACCATACAATATCGAGGAATCGAGCAAGCATATACACTAAGAAAAATCGCTCGATGACCGCGACTCTAGTGAAACCACTGCGTAGTATGGCTTATTGGGCAGGGCCTTCGATAATTAAAATAAATTGAAAGTAATCTATTCTCAGAAATTAAACTTTGTCTAATAGCGACATAATTATTTCTTTGCTTTAACTCTTCATGTAATCATGAATGTGCCAGGGAATAAGTAATATCTTCCAGTCATTTAAATACACCCCCGCCGCCTCCACACACACACACACACACACACACACGCACACGCGCGCACTAACTTAATAGTATTCAGCGTCATCCAACTGTAATACCCTTTTCATGCTTTGTAAATTTGAATGTGCCAAAAAATGATTTACATGTCTGAAAAGGTAAATAAAATTTCTTTTCACTGGTATTCTGTGTGACACCTGGAATGTCGTAGAATGGTCGGTATTGCGACATGCATAGCCCCACCCACGCCCCCCTTAATAGAGCTTAATACCGTACAACTTTTTAAGTTATTTTCTGGTACATTTATATTTGCATACCTTTGAAAAAGATCAAAGTTTCGCGGCACTAATCTTTATTAAGTGAGGGAAGGGCGGGGGTATTTAAAATGAAAAAAAATCGATATTAATCAGAAATTCTCGATATCTCTTCATATTCATATACGACTGGAAAGTATGTTTATTGCTGGCTACAAAATATGAATTATTTTCTGGCACATTTATATTTGCATACCTTGAAAAAACCTGTATTAAATGAGGAAGGGATGGGGGGGATTTAACGTCAAAATACGAGCCATAACACGAAATACAAGATATCGGGATGCATACCATTACAAAGGTCCATATACATTTTCAGAAGTGAAAAATAAGAAATTAAGAAATAAGAACACTGAATAAAGAGCTGTTTGGTCTTCCATAAAAGTGAAGTATCACCGGCTAATAGTCGAATGTTGTTGGTAATATTATCGGGGCTATCAAATTAAAAATACAAAAAATGTCGTTATCTCCCTTGTTGTGGGTTTGTTTTCATGTTCAGTGACGCAGGTCTTGTATAAAGACAACACTGTTATAACTGTGTGTGTGCAAGAAAATATTTTTAAACACTAACAAAATATATATTTACAGTTTTGACGTAAATATCATACCCTGTTCTCTGTAGGGTGCCAAGGTGACTAAGAGGGTAAGACGCTGTCTCGCTATCTTGGAGGTCGCGTGTTCGATCCCTGCATTAGCCGAGAAAGGTTATCGGGATTATCCGACGTGGTTTTCCTTTGTCAGTGGTGCAGGACGGAGGGCCCGACAAGGACAGCTGTCTAGTCGTTCGGAGGAGACGAAAAACCGAGGTCCCGTGTATACATTGGCGTGCATGTAAAAGATCCCTTGGCAGTTGGAATTTGTCCGGTGAAGTATGGCAGGTGAAGTAGGCCATAGTGCCCCTGCCCTCGCAAAATTTCCCTTATAACACACTGTACGTCGCATGCCGTCTTCATTATCCCAGTCGGAGCAGAACAGTGGGGCGTTAAACCCATTTCAGTTTGTTCTCTGTAGTTGAAACGGTTTAACATAAATCTACAACAGTCTTGCATGGGTGCATTTATGTAACGTAAGTAGGTCACAATACTAAGGGATACAAGTAATGAGTATTATTGTGGCCTATATATTCCAGTTCAATTACTATATTGAAACAACTAAGATTGCAGTCTTGCATGAGTGCTTTTATTTGATTATTGTGTAGATATTATACTGAGTAGAGTCAATATTATAAATAGCCTGGGTAGTTGTGAACAGGTTTGATCAAGTAAAAAGATATTGGGATCAATATCACCTGTTTTATATTTGAATACAGAAGACCATAAACTTGAGTAAATTTTTAGGCTTGTGTTTTTTTTCCATATAATTAACACAAGTAATGTCTACCGTCAACAAATAATTTGGGTTTGTCAAGATTGAACTCCATACAAAGTCTTAACTCGAGGGTATACAAAAAAAAGTAACGCAATGAAATAAATGGCTCAACTCGAACACCGAAAATTGCATGCCGTCTTCACAGGAATGATGTGAGTACTAATTAATCAACTGATTCGTTAAAATAAACCGACAAACTGATTATTTGACCTTTATAGAGAACACACAATCAAATAATCACCGGTAGATGACCCCCCGGCTTGCATTCAGGACAATCAGAGGGGTTCAGTAAACCTTAACGATGTGTGTGGGGCTGTGGGTGGGTGTGTGTGTGTGTGTGTATGTGACATGGCTTTTATTTACGTCCGCTTCCACCGAAGTGATATCGCACACAGTCCTTAAAGATGGCGATGGCTTGTTTATAGCTAAACTATATTTTCTGGTTGGCAAAAAGAGAGACCAGCGGCTGCCAGGCAGGATACGCCCACATTTTCGAGAGATGAATAGAGAACAAGCTAAAAAGAAAGTGATTTTTCCTACAATCAAGGGTCATAATTCATGAAGTGACGATCCGATATGCTCAAATATCGATCGAATGGAAGCAAGATCTTTAGCTTATAAACATGCATTTCAAGTTTCACCAAAATCGAATTAAAATTGTGACCTCTACAAGGTCCACAACCTTGATATACCATATTTTTACACTTCGCATACAAGCCGCGGCCATTTTGTCCGGCAATTTTGGTCCGATTTTGACGAAATTCAAACTCAACCTTCCTTACGGTGTAACGGTGATGTAATCAAACGGCTTATTAAATCGTATAATAATTATGACCTCCAGAGGGATCACAAGCTATCAAAAAGGCGATTTTTCGGACAATCAGGGGCCATAATTCAGGAAGTTATGATCCGATATGCGCAAATATCGAATGGAACCAAGATCTTTGGGTTATAAACATGCATGTCAAGTTTCATCAAAATCGTTTCAAAATTGTGCCATAATCCATGAAGTTACAATTGGAGATCTTTTGGAGATAAACCTATATTTCAAGTTTCGTCAAAATCAGATAAGAATTGTGACCTGTAGAGAGTCAACAAACAATTGTGGACGTCCGGACGGACAGGGGCGTCGACAATATACGTCTAAATGAAAATGTGGGCGTATAAAAACTCGGTAAGCGCAGGACTAACTTGTGGTACAATTGTAAAAATAACCTGCATTGTCTGTCTAGTTTGTCTTGACTAGACTAGATTATAAAAGCCTGGTAAAAAAGGTTCGCAATGACTTCAGTACTCCTATATGATATATATTCGGCACTGCATGTCAGTTCAAACAGTTCATCCATCCACTTATCTAACACACAACAAACAAATGTCAACTAACGGATGGTGTAAAGTTCTTGTATTTAAATGCTGGTTTAACCCAGCAAGGATGCGATGTGCAAGCAAGAACTGTGAGCTGGACACAATAGAAACATGTCAATATTATTAACAACAGAACATCATCTGGGGCCAGGTAACAACGGTCACAATCCGTCTCGGTTCCCACGGGTAATGTGGACCCTATAAATATAAATACATATTAATGATTAAATAAGAGTGTCAATATCACACCTCAAATTGTTATATCTAACATTAAAATAGACGAAAATACCGACAACACTTAAAGCATTGAAGTCATTCGCGACATTTGTCGTGTTATGAATCCATGAGTAAACAAAAAACAAAATCTCAGTGTCAGGTTGGCAGACATTTAGCGTAAATCACGTTTCAAGATGTGATTATGAGACGAGCATGGTATGGCTTAACGTTCAGGTATCCTTTATCTCAAACACACAAGGATAAGAGAAATACATCTGTAAACACAGGAGCAGAGTCTGGTCATATGGACAATGACAAAATATACATGGTGTAGCTGCTACGGGGAGAAAATAACCTTTAGAGAAACGGTCACCATCAGAAACTCGGGCCCGACGGGACTCTCATGTCCCATCATATAGTGAATACAATGTTGCAATGTATATGTGTTTTATGGTCAGTATTTGATTATAAGTCAGTTTTACGTAGGTCTATGTTCTGGTTCAAGTAGTGCAGTCTTAGTGCAAAAAAATTGTAGAGTGGCATTTCAATGTCAAACACAAAATCACGGTGATCTTTTTGTAAGAACATATTTGTGCATGTTTAAAGGCACAGAGAAAGTTCAACGCAAGTAAAATAATTGTGAATTTTTTTCATGAAACTTTACCCACATCAAATCCCTTTCATAAAGTTTATAAAAAAATTGGGTAATATTTGCAACTGCTGTCATATTTTTGTCGGTGATACGTATCAGTCCCGTCAGGCAGATTGTACACCTATGTGGGTCCTGGTACCAATGCGTTTTTTCCAAATTTATGTGACTTTTCCTTTGTGAATTGGTTAATATTTCTGAATTCATCCTTTATATAGATGACACAGAGATTTTAAATTACAACTGGTCTGTGAAATGATATATGTTTTCAGAAAATTGTCGTTGATGTGAGGTTTGTTCTAAGAAAAACATCAAATATCGCCCTCGGAGTTTAATGTGTTACATGTAATGTAATAATATGCTGTAATAAATCAAGAAATTGTTTCTAGATTTTCCTAGTGCGGTTGGAAATTAACTATACATTTTTATTTCAAGTTAAAATTGTTTACGCCTTTAATTGAATGAATTTTACTATGAATTATTCTTTCAAATAATTGAGAAAATATAGTTTTCTTTGTTTGAATTGTCTGTTTAGTGTTGTGGGTTGAAGTAAAGATGAAAATACAGATTTCAAGAATAATTTAAATTTTTTTGTCTTTTTCGTATTGAAAATAATTTACCACTTTACCGCCCGTCTGGATGTTGAAGTCCAACCCCCACCCGCTTCAGCAAAATTTGTAAACTTAAAAATAATTTTGTGGATACCCTAACCAAACCCAAATTATCTATAAAATATCATAAAACAATAAATTATTTTAAAACGTAACCACTTGGGCCCGAAAGGTTTAGCTATTCAGCTATTGATGGATCTTTTCAACCAATCAGCAACACGGGTTGATCCATGATGTGAAATCTCATACAATGCTAGCTATAACAGTAAATCGGCCTGTGGGACTGTCAACAGTCGATAGTTTTACTAAGTCAAGATATTCCAGGCTGTTACTGGTAGCAAGATGTGGACTTTATCAAGACAATTTACAGAATAGTGATGTATGAATTTTATGACTCACCAAAAATAACCATTTCAGTGGCAGAAAATACAAGCAGAAAAGCAAAAGTAATTTTTCGCTGTCCCATATTCCTGTGGCCATAGTGTCGCATGAGGTAGGCCAAGACGACGATTACGACCTGTACAATTGCAAATGCCACCATCGTTTTATTCCATGTTGGACACTTTAAAAACACTTGGAAAACTGGAAGTAATAAAATAAAGCAATATATGATGAGTCGAGTTGTTTACCGAGGTTAAACCTAACTCACAACCCGTCGGACTTGCTAGTACGGACAGTATACGGGCATTTGTTTTCAGAAAACCCGCGCGCAAGACATAAGCTGCATTTCATTTAATACGGATCCGGTCCGGTTGCGGATTCGGAAAAAAAACACTTTCATAGGATTTTAGTAAGAGTGTTTCCTTATGTGCGGGTGCTAGTACGGACAGTATACGGGCATTTGTTTTCAGAAAACCCGCGCGCAAGACATAAGCTGCATTTCATTTAATACGGATCCGGTCCGGTTGCGGATTCGGAAAAAAAACACTTTCATAGGATTTTAGTAAGAGTGTTTCCTTATGTGCGGGTGCGGATACGATTCTGTATGCGGCGTCCCGTACGGTTTTTCGAAACGGACCATGTAGCGTTCGGTACGGAAACGCATGCGGAACCGTGTCCGTAAACGCACATAAGGAAACACAGTTTGGGTAGCCAGCACGGGAAAAAGCCAATATTATAAATGTTTTTCTTCTTTTACGAACCGTGACAGTGCTGGCGCCATGTTGAAAAGAGGGCCCCTCCGCTTAAATAACCGCATATAAAGATACACAACCTGCCGTGTGCTATGTAGACTCCCGGACCGGAGCCGGACCGGATCCGTAATAAGGAAATGCAGCTTTACGCGTCACTTTTCCGTATCCCGTACCGTGGAAGATCGAACGCACACAGTACGTACCCCAGGGGGCACGGCTAGTAGACGCTTTGCGATGACAGTAAAAACAAAAACAACGTCAGACACATGTTCTTTGTAATGGTGACGTACATTATACCTACATCACAAATACTCTTGACTTAAGATCACTGTGGCCCGCAAGTCAGAAGTATACCTGTGGGTGGCGTGCAATCAGCGCACAAAGTCTGCACGATTGCCTAGAATGTGTGATTATAGAAAGTACAAATATGACTGTCACCATACCTTCACGACTAAGATTGACTAAGCTTGATGAACTCTAATAGTTATCCAAATGAAGCAGGGGGTGGGTGGGGGTGCATATTGTCCTTGCTACAACAGGAATATCGACGCCGGAACGCGAGGACTTTCAGTATAACAACCTATTCGAAGATCTAAAGAAGGAGTCGCGAGAAGACTAGATGTGGATGTCTCATAGCACAGTCGCGGGGCTCTTGATGCATGTGACACCCCGAATTACAATGGGTTCAAGAAGTAGCTGCCCACTTGAGCCCGGCCTGAAACTTGCTATTACCACCCGATTCCTGGTTACAAGAAATAGACAGGTGAGTTTTCATTCCGTGTGACACGTCTATAACTCAGGTACGATGTTCTAGTTGGAAGACACTTACCTATACAAAGCAATGTGAGATGCAAAAACAACAACATTAGACACTGAACTGAAAAAACAAATAAATCATATAATTAGATATTACAAGTTGGTGGAATTAATACTGAAAATGGAAACACAAATCAAACATGATGATGTGAAACTGTATTAAATACGAACTGTCTGTAAGTCATTAAGCGTGATTTGGGCGATACTGGAATTACTTGTAAAGTACAATATTTAAAAATCCAAGCATAGTTTAATTCCGTTCGATCAGTATTTACAGGGATGTGATATATCTTGATATAATTTATCAACAAAATATATCCCTAAACTTAAACTTTTCGCTAATCGTCAGTAAGCAAGTCGTTGTATTGTAGGGTGACGTCATGATAAAATATCTTGACCGCCTCCATCTTAACGTGTTCGCGAATCTTATAACACATAATTATGGAAGAACAATTATGGTTTATTTAGGCGACGTTTCGAATACTCTTCGAAACCTCGCCTAAGTAAACCAGTAATTGTTCTTCCATAAATGAATCGCTCTATCCAGTTACTAAATGCCTGTAAAAGGTCCTTATTGATAGACTTGTTTAAATCCGATTGAATCCACGCCGGGAGATTATCTAACTGTGAATTTGTTTTCTTAATTAAATGTTAAATAAACAACCTGTATACATATTACCGTGGATAAAACCGTGATAAAGTTGATAATCTTCAACAACTGATTAAAGCTTTTGATTACCTATAAATATTGGAGATTATCCATGTGTGACCTAACGATGTGGGCCGATAATTCATACTTACACCACCACTTGTTTTCGTTTAGTTCTAATGTCTCCTCGACTACATCAGGACCGCCTTTTTCTTCTTCTAATTGATCTTTTATAAATAAAACGAAGAGTAAAGATAGAACCAAACATAATTTTCTGCAGAATTAAAGCATTATTTATGTCAATAAATCTAGATGTATAGAAACCAAAGTGTATTTAATAAAAAGAAGCTTTGTCATAGCATTAGAACAAACTTGACAAGTCAAAAGCAGGTAAAACAAGTCCCAACGCATCGGTGGATCGCATGAAATCTATAATTAGGCTAGTATATCTGAGTTGATCAACGACAGGATCTGATATTTACAGTAAACACACACAATACATCATGAATATTAAATCACACAGTACACACATGCACTCCTAGCTTTAGAGACCATCAATCACACACAATACATCATATACACACATGGACTCCTAGCTTTAGAGACCATCAAGCATACCACGTGGACGTATAAAAACAAGATCATTTATACATACACTTGCAGTAACCTAAATTATTCTCTTCATCTTCCAGTGGAACTTTTACAACTAAAAATGAAGAAAAGAGAACATATTAAAGGAATATTCACGTCTACGGTCAAATACAGGTTCAGACATTCAATATAAAAATTGTCTACCCATAGGTTATTTAAATCGATCATATTATGATTTTGATATTTGTTGTATATTTCTTGCAATGTCTATGTAGTTTGTCTTATCAGCATTATTGACTTTCTATCGCAGTTGGGTCCTTGGTCAACAACCCGATCGATCAGGATTACACCCCCCCCCCACACACACCTCAAATCCAACACACTCACAAGCAAAGGATCGAAATTTCACAAAAGATTTAATGTTAAATACGTCACTGTACTGTCTTAGCGATACATTATGGGAGATTAGATAAAGAACTGGCAGTTCGCACTATAATAGCTAAACACTGAATTTTCGGCCTAACCTCGATCATCATTTTTAAATTCGGTACGATAAAAAAAAACCATGGTCTCGATTATCAATTTCATGATTAAATCGGATCCTAATCCAGTAAATATCGCAGTCTAGCGATGACATCGAGCGTAGATTAGGGTCGAGATAAATTAATTAACGTCTAATTAATAATTTAGATAACATTTCAGACCTAAAGAAAGACCTACAACAGCCAGATTTAGCTCTTGTATAATGTATGTTTAAATATGAACCTGTAATCAACAGATTAGTCACTGCGTAGCGTTAGCTTATGGAATACGGCGCTGTAATCAACAGTACAGTTACAGTTACTGCGTAGAGTAACAAACGATTAAATATACACAGCTTGTACACAGTCCATTACAAGTAGTCTAATTGAATATCACCAGGTGTTGATGTTTCAAGTTAACCGAGTTACTGTGGTATTGGAGGTGTATCACAGATTATATAACTTCACACCTATTCACCAGGCGAGTGTGGCGAAGATTCGGTCAGAAACACAATCACACCTATATGCAATACTGACAAATGGAAGATCAAAATTAAAGATTACCTTCGTTAGCCATTCCTGTGATTTCAACTTCTTGCTGAACAGTTGTTGTATCCACAACGTCGATAAAATCAAACAAAACGTAATCTACCATCGATCACCATGTTATGGAGCCCGGTAAGGGACATAAAATTACTAACCCGTGCTGACCAGATATTAATAGTTAGTTAACTGGTGGGATAACTGATAAATGGTGCGCGGCTGGTAATGAATCACTTGAAGCAGAAGTAGATGCCATGCAAGAAGCAGAATATGCTTAATCTTTGTAGAGTACCTTATATCAGCTTCAGATTTAGTAATTAATCGGATATTTTAATATCGGTGAAAGGGCAAGCTTCGGTAGTATGGTATATGTTATAGTGACATAATCTGGCAATACCAAAGACAAGAAACGCTACTATCAAGTTCAAACTTTGGTGTAGTAATGCATTTGCACATGTTCTGATACTTTCGTATATTAAGAGTTATTGCTTGCTCTTGTAGAATCTTGTGAACGTTATAGAACGTTTTGTTACTGGCAGGGGGGGGGGGGTGGCTGAATGGTTATCATACGGCGTGGTTTCGAATCCCCGGTTGTACGTGACAAGGAGTAGGGTCGCCTGTCCAACCGCGTGGGTTTTCTCCGGTTCCTCCGGTTTCCTCCCACTGCTAAAGACCCCTACGCGCAAGCGAATTATTGAGACAAAATTAAACCATGTTAGTCCCGAAATGAACTGGTTTATGTCGAGTGGACGTTAATCCGCATCTCTCTCTCTCTTTCTCTCTCTCTCTCTCTCTCTCTCTCTCTCTCTCTGTTACTGGCAGGTGTCTAAAGCTCATTAACCTTTCTTAGATTCCGCATCTAATAGGCCACTGTCTGCTTTAACCAATAAATACAATCTCCTTGCATCTATTTCAATGATATGATATTTATAATCTGGCACGCACTACGCAGTTACCTGGATATGGACTGTTGCTCCAGATAACGTATTTATTTTGATTTGTATCCCTTGTGGCGCTTCGTACATTTAAACCAGAACACAACTTTAATATACTTACATACTATAAATACACATAGCCACCGGTCTATTTAACATGAACACTGACGAGGCGGATAATGGCAGGGATTTCTTGTTGGGTTTTATTTACATTATAATTCAGTTATTGCATTCAACTGCATTTAATTCATAGCATGTTTGACACAGTTTGTGGTTGAATGGTTGAGAGCGAGACATAAAGTAATATATTGTCTCAATATATTACACAATGTCTTTAGCTCGAGACCATTAAACAACTTAAAATTCAGACACTCGCACGTCCTTTGCAATTCAATGCGTCACTTAATATTCAGCATGCCATATGCTCTGACTTATTGAAGATCGGAGGGGGAGGGGGCAATGGTTTGGAGCGCGCGTGCTGTATCATAAGGCCTGTCATTGAGTCAACTGAGGTGGTTTCGATTCCCCGGTGTACATGACAAGGAGTAGGGTCGCCTGTCCAACCTTGTGTGTTTTCTCCGGGTCCTTCGGTTCCCCCAACTGCTAAAAACCCCTACGCACAACCGAATTATTGAAATAAAATTGTACCATATGTTAGTCCCGAAATGACCTGGTTTGTGTCGAGTGGGCGTTTAACCCCATCTCTCTCTCTCTCTCTCTCTCTCTCTCTCTCTTTAGCAATTTCAAACTAATGGAATTGTGTTTAAATATGTGTAGGCAGAAGGATTATTTCGTTGTTCTATGTCCTCACTGTGCGTGACGAAGCTCGCCACTTTCAATACCAAAATGGCCAAGGGATCAAAATATTAGTGAACTTCGTGGATTGTGATCAAGAATCCAGACTGAACTGGAAGCAATCACTGACTACAATTATTATTGTCCTCCGCTTTTCGAAGAAAGCAGGTAACTATTAAAATAGGTCAGTCCATCCGTCTGTCTGTGCGTGCGTCATATTTTTTGGGACACAATAACCTTCCGTCTAATTCAGCTAGAATGTGGGTGTCTGTTGGGTGAATGTCGTAAGACATGTTTGGATCATGCGCATTTAATGCTGAGGCTAAGTAGAGATAAGCAATTTGATTGGTTGAGACTTGGTTCTTATTTGACTACATTCGGGGATGGAAATTTTTTGCTTAGACTTCGTAGCGATAAGCGATGTGATTGGCCAAGACTTTGGAACATAACAAATCCTCTTTAATTCAGGTAGAAAGTTTAAACTTGGTGCAGTTGTTCATTTGGTGAATGTCTTGAGTTCAATAATTAACATTTCCCACTAAAGCTAAGCAGGACTAAGCAATTACATTGGTGGGTGCTTTGGAACAAGATAATTTGATTCTAGATAATTTAGAGTTATGAAACTTGGTGTATAGTTTCACTACCAGGTACTTCAAAACCTTGACTGAGTTGTTCGTGAACATTTTCTGCTTAGACTAATTATAGATAATCAGATTGATTGATCGATATTTGTTAAAAATATTAATGTGCAATTGAGTAATATCTTTATATTTTGGGATTTCAGTGACTGTTGGATATGTTCTTTCGTCAGGGATCAACTTAAATATCTATGACACGTGAATATTGCGTAACGTTACGCTTACTAAGAATCGACAAACTTTAAAGCCGAAAACACAAATCCCACCACAAGGAAGAATTAGCATAAATTAAAGTGACGATCCCAATCTTGCTGTAACTAAATAAAATGTCCCAATCTTCATTCTGTTCGACAAATTGTACTATTATATAATATTCCAATTGATTGGTGCTATACATTTCCTTTAAACAAAACTATTTTTAAAAATCGGAAAAATTTAGGTAGGTTGGTGGTGTTCTCATAGATTGCACTATGAATGAGTCTGGAAAAACTTTCTATAAACCGGAAAAAAGGGAAATCCCACTGTATTACAGCGTGGAAAGCTATTTTTAGAACAGGAAGTCAATCAAATCTGGAGTTTAATTACCTCCAGATAGAAATTGATTTGAAAAGGTTTATGTAAAGCTTTTCAACTGTGACTGGGATTTAATTCGAACCCTCTGGACAAAAGAAATATGATTTAATAGATAATTTACACTTAAATGTGTGACACTAACGCATCTAGTACTTAGATTATGGCTATTTTGTTTTGCTGGAGCTGCCAAACCAACAAGAGTGGGGGTCATCACTTTAAAGCTATGAATATGACAGGGCATTCAGGATTTTCAGGACAGCAGGACGGGACCAAGTCCAGACATTTCATATCTTCATATTGTAGTTTCAGTGCCAAATGTGAAATAAAAGCATGTCGAGGGCATCTAACCCAGATGATTTGGAAACATTAAACGCTGCCATTTAAGATTGTTTGGAGCCCTGGACCCCTTCAATTGGGCCTTAATCTGTGCAAGATATACCTATGATTTGTCATCTACATTCTCGTTTTAGGCCAAGCATGTATGTAACAGTGAACTTATTTAACCAATACGGTAAATTACGGTACGTTTTATCATCATAAGCTAATAAGCTGACCTCTATTAGCTGATCATTACGGTACGTTGTATTATAAGCTAGCAGTGCATAGTGCTGATCTCTATCAGCTGATCAAGGATAAGCAATTGATGAGAAGATAAAGTCTTACGCTCCGTTTATAGAGTAGTTGATCGTCTCACAAGTTAGACATCCGAATATATTATACTTAATACACGTCGTGGACTCGATTGTGCTAGACAACCGAATCCATTATACTTGATAGTAGACTCGATTGTATTAGACAACCGAATCCATTATACTTTTAGTGACAATACGACTTACGGTTCTTGGTTATATTAAAATATCAAATACTTAATGCGGGAATCGTCGTTTTTTAACGTACGTACAAATAACGATTGACTTTAACGCGTGTACGCATGCACAGTCCTTAGTTTTTGAACACGAGAGCGAGAGAGAGAGAGAGAGAGAGAGAGAGAGAGAGAGAAACTGAAAATAAACAACTCCAAATATCAATTACATTTTCGGCTGATTTTTATAAATACATTAGACCATAATTAAAACGTACGGAGAAATTCGTGGCTTACTATGTAAACGCAATATGCAGAAAGTGCCTACTATATTGTAGAAGTTAAATATCCTTTATAATAATCCTATTATGTTTCCAATAATTATCACATATAGATATGAAAATAAATACACACCTAAAATAGAGCTCACGAAACACGCCCTAAAAAGATTAGAAATCGAGTGCTTTGACCAGTATCGTAAGTTTACTTTAATCATACAAGCGTGGTTAATCAAGACTACGGATATACATTTCGTTCAGCTAATTTCTGGTCTAATTTTTGTGTGCGTATTTAGAGCCAGCAACAACCTAACTTCTGAACTCACTAAGACGGCAACTAACCACATAGTTTTACCGTTAAATAAAAGTAAATTTCATAGTCTTTCATATTCCTGAAGCAATGACCCGATAAATTCCTCACTGACCATTGCTGGATTGGCTTCTGACACTTGCGCTTTTGAAGGAGTGTGTCTATTCTTCCCGTTCAATCAAATCTATCCCCAAGCACAGCAACATGAGAGCCCTTCGTTTAATCTGGGGTCTTCCCTAAAACTTTGGACAGTGATTTAAGGTATTAAAACGGTGAAAGTACTGTTCGTCTCAAAACAATATTGTTTACATTATATCCGTGTTGACAGTTGATAGCCTTGTTTGTCCCGCAATAAGTTTTTCTGCAATATTCTGCTATGCACTGGTTAATTGGGCATAATAAAATCGTTATGTAAACATATTTGGTCCAATTTGGAGCTCTGTTTGGTATTGTTACGCAGTAAGCTATCGGTTGTTAATCGGACTATTGACCAATCATAATTCAGAACAAGAATTTGCTTTCTTTACAGCAGTGAGTAGTGGGACTAATCAAACGAAACACTGCGAACAGTATGTAGTCTTATGGTGTCGGTAAGTTGCTGCGAGGGTGTGTTTAAAAGATAGAAAAATAACGAAACTACATGAATTGACTCTTAACCGAGAACCGTTACAATATATACGTCATTGGGTACAATCAACTAAAATGAGAAATAAAATCACCGAGTTTAAGCCAATATTTTAATCAAGTTCGTAACCACGTATTTTTAAAAGGCAATTGTTTGCTACTTTCAGTGCATGTGCGACCCCGTGACTGAACTTTGCTCATTTACGTCGTGGTGATCACAGATGAAACAGGTTGATAAGAAGGTAATTTTTTTTAGCACAAGGATTTGAGCACTGATATTGTATGACTCGATCTCGAGCCAGAACCATCTGATGTGGGAATTAACTTTAAGCTATTCATTAAGATATCCAGATAAGGAGACATTCTCTGGGGATTCTCTGGCTGTCCGTCTCATTCATAAGCATACAATTTGTAAGTCAGTATGGTAGACAGATAATATATTTATTAACTAATTTGTAAGTCAGTATGGTAGGCAGATAGATACATATAAATCACATATTTATTATTAACTAATTTGGAGAATGACGTCTGAGACATCTACGCGCGCCCTCTTCATTTAACGATGTTTTCCTCTATATTGGATATTGTAGTCTCCTGCTGACAAACATCAAACCAGAAAGGATGGGCTCTAGAGGGTCCATAAACTTGAAAAGCAATGCGTTAAATACTGTTAAACCCTCACTTGATTTTCCAGAGTCGTTTCCTCTTGTTTGTAGTGTAGGTCAGAGGGCCGGGTGCGACAAAACAAAAGAGAAAAACTCTTGACAATTGAAATTCATAATATATGTAGACCGTAACCCCTTGCTCGGGGAGAAAATCCTTCATAAAACAATGTATGGCGTACGTCCGCCTTTATTAAACCAGTCGATAACCCAAGGACGTACAATTATTATAGAATCGTGCCGATCTATGTGACAAAATCGCTGATAAGCACGTGTAGGTGAACTAATACAAATTCCTGTCATTTTATCTGGTCCGTTTTATTTATAAGTTATTTGATTGCCTGGCACGATGCAGGTAAGTTTTGTTAATAATGTTATTGTCTTTAGTCAAGTTTGTTAATAATGTTATTTTCTTTAGTCACGGGGGGGGGGGATGAATGGTTGACGCGTGCGAGTTTGATCACAAGGTCTGTCATCAAGTGGCGTGGTTTCGAATAACCGCTTGTACGTGACAAGGAGTAGGGTTGCCTGTCCAACCTCGTGGGTTTTCTCCGGGTCCTCCTGTTTCCTTCCATTGTTAAAGGTCCTACGCGCTAGCGAATTATTGAAAGAAACTTGAACGAAATGACCGTGCTCTTTAGTCAAGGTCTCCAATTAAAACCACACACCTTGTAACTGACGTTAAAACCACGCACCTTGCAATTAAAACCACGCACCTTGTAATGTATATTAAAACCACGCACCTTGCAACTGACGTTGAAACCACCCCACCTTGTAATTAAAACCACGCACCCTTTTATCATATTTATCATATTAGTATAGACAAGTATTATATATGTAAAAATTGATGTACATGCTAGATAGATCGCGATATAAAACATGCAGATATTATTATGTTGGCTTATTGCTAAACAAAGTTTTAATTATTTTATATATATAATAATCGCGAGAAGTACTAGGCACTGAATCCATTGGTAACTCTCTATGTACTGGAATTTCTCCATTTTAGGTGTTAGAATTGACATTATTGGTGCTGGTCGGCCATCTTGTTCATGGATATAGTCCAGGGATAGACTTTGTTGGAATTGGCTACAATTTATTGAAAGCTAATCCAGAAGGGGGAGTTGGGGGTGCTGGTGGCGTCGATCCAGGACTGAACGGTGTAAGAAAAATATTACAGCTGTCTTCAGGGACCGTCCCAAAAGAAGTTGCTTATAAGCCGAGACATAGCTGCTTACAGCAGAAATCAACACATGTTTATTATGGAAGCAAGTCTTACCAGTCGAGGCTTGGTGTTGGCGTAACTGCTTCAGGTATGGTGGTAATTATCCAACAAGATGATCAGTTGGCCATTGTTTTCTAAAAGCAACATACTATCTTGGTTAATTTTCTCTTTGAGATTTGTTGGGTATATTGTATTCACTATTTATATTCATGTTTTCTCTGATGTCGTCACAGTCGGTAAACAATTCCTTAATTATGTTTCTGCGATGTAAACAGTATAAGCCGCTTGTTCTGTTTCAAACACTGCTATTAGTAAGTGCAGGGCGACACCAACACAGATAACAAACTCACAAGACAAACCCACGGACATCACCTACAATGTATACAGATATTTTACATCAACAGAAGAGACCATGAATATAATATAAATCACGCCATGGATGTGCCTCTTCTTTTGACACGTTCTCATGGCAAATACAAGACCATGTACTTTACTTTGTCATGTTCTTTATATTTATACATTTAGAATGTTAATGTTACTTGTGATAGTTGTTAAGAGTACTTCCCCTTTAACACTAACTTTCTCGGTCAATTTAGGGATCGATCGAACACGCGACCTGCAGGCTAGCGAGCCAGCGTCTCACCCACTTAGCTACCGTGGCTCCTAGATGCCAGGAGTAGTTCTCCTTTAACACTAGGTGTACCCTATATATAAACTGATATATTGTGATACGAAATAGAAATGAGAATTTTAATATTTCCTATTCGCTTTTTTGTATTCAGTTTTGTTTTTGTGACGGATGGAACATGTACCCTATATCATGTATTCAATATACCTTGATTCCATTGAATACTGAAACGTTTTCTTGACTGATTTAGATTTAGACTATTTTTTTTTATACATTTCACCGATGTGGTTACTTATATAGTTGAAATTTTAACTACATATGCTTGCATTCGTATTTCTTGTAGCATATAGCAGATCATGACCCATGCTGACATTATACAATGGTTTCTTTGGGTTGCATTCCTGATTGCTTTCAAATTTGAGTGAAGTCTGTGTCACTACTGACACGGGACTGTACAGGGCAGTGGACGCTTACGGCTAGCCCCCAGATCCATTCATTTTTTTTTAATTGTTTGCTTGTTTGTGTTTTTTCTGAGTATGATGTCTTGCCCGTGTATTTGTTTTTGTGTAAATTTTGTGTGGTGCAGTGCCCCTGCACTTACTATTAAATATGATAAGAAACCCTAGTTGTACATTAATTTAAACGTTAAATTAATTAAAATAGTAATTGTGTTCCATATTATGTTTTTGTGTTTACTACACTTGTCAATTGCTGAAAGCCGCTCAAAGAAAATAATATATAGTTGTATGGAATAAAGACATGATAATTTACTTAATTCTTAGCCTCAGTATGTGAACTTTATATTAATATTATGTTTAATGCCCTATGTAGGACAAGGTAATACAGGAGTTGCCACAGCAGCTTTCAGTTTAAGTGCAGGTAAGTTAGTACATTGCTCTCATTAGTGTCCTACAAAATATTTAATATTGTTCAGTGTCCGTTCGAACTAGTGGGTTGTTATTATGTTAATAATACATTATACATTAATCACAAATTGATCATGGTACAGAACACAGCTGGAAGACTCTTAACTAAAACCTATGAACGTGAGCATATAACACCTGTACTTTCAAAAGCACATTGGCTTGCTATAAAACAGTGGATCATTTTCAAAATCTTACTGCTTACATACAAAGGACTAAATGACAAAATGCCGAACGATATAAAAGAAATCCTTGAACACAATAAATCTGGCAGAGGACTACGCTCTTCTTCAAAAGATCGTTTACCACACCACCATTCGCACCGGAACTCAGGAAACATCTTTTGCGTTTGCAACACTCTGAAATCAATTACCAATTAAAATCCAAATGAATGGAAACATTCAAGTCAGCATTGAAATCCCATTGTGTTCAAAATAGTTGTATCTACCAACGAGAAAGTACTTGAATGTAATCATGATATTATTATCATTATTATTATTGATAATATTGCTTCATCGTATTATTATTTTAATAGCTTATTGAATTTTAACCAAACATGGCTTTCAAATTCTAAACTCAATATTACAGGATATAAACGAGCATACAGTGAAACCAATAAAGCCGGAAACGTCATCTTTGATGATGAAACTATTTGTAATTTGGGAACTGCCAGATTCACCGAGGAACTCTCTTCACAGCACAATCTTCATGTTACCATCAACTTTGCAGCCGCTCTTTGTTCCCTTCCTGTATTATATAACAGTGCGGTTTATATGAAGTTCCTGGACGACTGGGGAACGGTTTGTTCATTATTGATACAAGTTCCATTGTCGTCCACCTCTTAGAGAACCAAGTATTTATTTTGTGATTAGCGAGAGATGAGGATGGCATACTGTTGTCTTGTTTAAAGTTATTATATGAATATACTAATATCATAAACTTATAACTGAATTGACTGATATCATAAACTTATATTTTTAATTATTGATATGAACAGAAAGCAGACATGGAATACTATCGTATTTATCTTATCTTACAGCACGTGGTAATGCAAGTTGATTTTGGTACAAAATTAATCAAAAGATATGAATCTTCTAGGACAGAATTTATAAAGCACGTACAGAAAAGTGTAAGTTAACACAAATTTCTATTAGTTTTTAGTACTCAAAGCGTGATTGTTTTAAAATTTTGCATGAAAGACTGTGGCCATGAGATGACGAACCCTATGTTATTGTGTGATCAGTTACCTTTCCGTGCAATAGTTGTTAGCCCCTGTTGTCGGCAAAGGGGGCATAACTCCTGTACTAAATGTCGTAGAGCTCTAAATATCAATAGGGTTCGACCACAGTGCTCCACACAACATTTCAAAAGAATTCGTTAAAACCGAACATCAATACTTGTCCGCTCATGACCTCAGTCCGTCAAGCAAAATTTGAAAAACAATCAGTTAACTCCATAATTAGCAAAAAGTCGTGGAATGCTGAATATTTATAAGGCTTAACAATGCTTCACACCAAATTCCAAAAGGACCCATCAACCACTAAATATAAAAGGAATCCGCTACAAACCTTAGAGTATATCGCTTTCGTGGCAAGGTTTGGGGGCGTTTGGAAACATTTTCTTTTTATTTTGCTTGAAAAATAATAGTTTATCCTATCAGCCTGTTCCCCAATTCCATTCAGACAGCCTGAATAAAAATATTGTTTAAAAACAAATCATCTTGTAAGATGTGAGGAAAGTATATTCTACAAAATTTTCACCACAAGAGTTCCACAAGATATTGGACATAGAAAAAATAGCAATTTTTTCAAAAATTTCTTCTCAGACGCCCTATTTGCCTGTGTAGTACCACATTTCACAATATTTTTCGACCACAGACCCAAAATACATTTGTGGAATGTGGTACGACACAGGCACTTAGGGAGGTCTGTGAAGAATTTTTAAAAAAGGCCAAAATATCTTGTGGAACCCTTGTGGTAAAAAACACCACAAACCCAAAACAGTGTATCAAAAGTCGAAAATCGTGTGGAAAAAAAGTTAAATATCTTGTGGAACTCTTGTGGTGAAAAACACCACAATACTCTATGAATATTATTTCAAGTCGAAAATCATACGGTTTTCGGAAAACAGAGCATAATTGTTGTACAATAGGTCGCAGAACGCTAAACATGGATAGTTTTCGTCCTCTCACGACCCCAAAGCTTCACACCAAATCCTTCGATTTTGACAGCCTCTGTCGCGTTTACAAAAGAATTAGTAACAGACGGACCGTCGGATTGGTTGACGACATAATACGACAACACTGAAATGTGAGCGTATAATAAAATAATAAAATTCAACATGCTAAGAAATGTGATGGATTGCACATTAAAGTAAATGAAGGGATTACTATTAATCCTTAATATCGTTTGTACTCCTACTCTTTTCGTTTGGTACCCCACATTATTAAGCTGGAATGTGAAAATACCAGTCTGCTCATACTTCTGTTCTAAAGCTGTTGGAGTCTTTGCATTCATCATGATACTTGAATTAGTAAGACCTATTAGAACAGAAAGAGGGTAGGGTATACATTCGTCTACATTTGTGATTATTCATTTTAGGGAGGATTTGGATTGTCGGTTGGCGGATTTCTTAGTTTAGATTTCAAAACTTTTAAAGCGAGTAGTGCATATAAGCTTCGGTTTGGAACCTATCAATCAACTCTTACATCTGGTAGTACCAATCAACCAGAACCAATTGGTCTTACCATCAAAACTATTGCAGAAGCTCTAAATAAAGATTACTGGCAAGGATCGTCAGTTTTGAAGGCTTGTGGTCACTCGTTGTCTGTTTTACGATTCAAACAAATCCATCTAGTGACGGCCTTAACTGGTTATGCTAAATTCAAACTATTTACACCACCCACAGGTTAGCCTTTAAACTTTAAACTTATCAGATCGTAACTAAATGTAACGTGCACATAAATTAAAACCAAGTTTAAACTAAATTAATTCAGATCCTAACTCGATCTAACATGCATATAAATCAAAATTAATACAGAAGACATCACAGTAGTATACGACTGAGTTTGTATCTTCCTGAATCATCATCTATTCTCTTTATTGGTTATCTTATTTTGTTATACGGATTCCACTCATCGGTAACATGATCTTAGAAAATCTGCTTTTACATGCATGTCTTTACTTTTCTTAGATCCTCGGCTACGGATTCCTGTTACATGGCCATCTGGAACAAATGGTCTTAGAAAAACTACTTCTACATTTATTGTGTTTTCTGTTGTTAGATCCTCAGCTACGGATTCCTCTTACATGGCCATCTGGAACATATGGTCTTATAAAAACTACTTCTGGATGCCCCGCTGGTAGAGTCACTTGGCATGAAGGAATGAGACATTACGATGATTACAGCCGTCATAGAGCTAAGACCTCAGAATTTGCTTCAAATTACTACATCAAAAATAGTAACGAGTGGTCTAATCCTAACCATATAGCAGGTAATTTTCATAAACTTCACACACCAGATCTTAATTTTCATATCTTAAACGGTATACATGATCCATGTCCGTTAGTATACTTTAAACGTTATGAAACATCCGTGTCCGTTTCTAAAACAAACAAAGGGTGCCAAAGAGTGAACGTTACCTTGCGTTTTGTCGAAATTATAAATATAGCATGGGATGGATTTTGGCCTGACACCCCTAACCTAAACCTACACACCTATACTACAGCTACACACCTATACCACATATATACTACACACCTATACTACAACTACACACCTTTATACCCATACTACAGCTACACACCTATACTACAACTACACACCTATACTACTTTACACACCTATACCACATATATACTACATACCTATACTACAACTACACACCTTTATACCCATACTACAGCTACACGCCTATACTACAACTACACACCTATACCACATATATACTACACACCTATACTACAACTACACACCTTTATACCCATACGACAGCTACACACCTATACTACAACTACACACCTATACTACTTTACACACCTATACCAAATATATACTACACACCTATACTACAACTACACACCTTTATACCCATACGACAGCTACACACCTATACTACACACCTATACTACTTTACACACCTATACCACATATATACTACACACCTATACTACAACTACACACCTTTATACCCATACTACAGCTACACACCTATACTAAAACTACACACCTATACTACAGCTACAACCTAACCTACAACTACTCACCTATACCACAACTACACACCCACACTACTACACGACTGTACTAAAAATACCACCTATACTAAAACTACATATATATACTACAAAAAACACATATACTACAACTACATACCTATACTACGTGTACACACCTATACTACAAGTACACACCAATACTACAACTACACATCTATAATACAAACCTATACTACAACTGCATACCTATATTACAACTACACACCCATACTACAACTACAACTACACACCAAGACTACAACTACCTACCTATACCACAAATATATTACACACCTATACTACAACTACACACCATCACCATCACATAACACCTATACCACCTATATACTACTACCACACACATAAACCGTCATATATGAGGTGGGTTTGACACATCTAAACTACAATCATATCATAACTTGGGCTTTACGTACTGTGTTTGTCTGCCAAGCCTACTCTACAACCGCATCATAAGATCGACATTGGTCCGACACACCTAAACCGCTGTATCATGGGATGATAATTGCCGATTTGTTGTTTGGAACATTTTCAGGTACCAAAGGTCGGGATATCGACATAGAGTTCTGTATGAAGGGAGATAATAAAATCACTGAATATGATGGTGATTGGCCAGCTGGAGATTATTGTATTCTGAAATATGGCGACTGTCCTAAAGGTAAATTATTACATGGACGTTTTCTTGGGGTGTAGGAAAAGTTAAAACATGGGTTGACAAAATAATATTAAAAGGGACTAAAACAAATATTGGACCAGACATAACGTCGTTATTTCAGTTCAATTCGACCAATTCGGACCACACCTACATTTGTCTACAACACATCTCTTGTCAATTGTGAACGAGAGGACATGAGTTACAATTTGATAAATACATATATTTTATTTCTATTCTTCATTGTCAATAAATTAGTTATGGCATGAGTTTATCAAAACGCAACTTAAATTGTTTAAGAAATATTGCGAGAATAACAGGAAAGGAGGTCTAAGTTCAAGGATAGATTTCTAAAAACGCGTTATTGGAAAGTTACCATTTCATCTTTGGCATGAGTGACCAATCACATGATTAATGGCTGTGAATCTGAGAATATATAATTAATAAAGTGTGCGTTCTACGGCAGACAGCAATGTAGTTCTTGTAGGGAGGAGATGTAGGAATTTCCGCTAGCAGACTCGCTGAGTCTTCATGGGAGCGGGTTAGAGAGAATGACTTTATTATAATGCTTGTAACTATATATCTTACGTATTGGAGCTTAATATAAAACTGTAATCAAGAAACTCTGGTATTTGTTGTTCCTGTTCATGATATCATTTAAGATGCAGTATATTCAAACACAATGTAAAGTCGTCATTAATGGGGAATGTCAGAATGACATTTAAAGATACGTCCAGGAATTATATATGCGACCAGAAACAATACTAGACGATCACGGGCTGTTCCAAAATATGTAGTAAGAAAAGATGCATGGGTTATACGCCGGATGTGGCGACCGGTTTTAGCTACCTCCCGTTCTCCATGTCTGACAGACGACCCATTGTGCTACACAAGTTTTTCTCCTGTGACAGCGCTATCTTAGTAATAAGAAAGTTTAAAGAGCGACAGAATACGAGATGTTATATAATGCATTGTCGTGGTCCTGTTAGTAGTATATGAATCCTATAAATTCAGTTGTTGTGATAGTCTGATCAAGATGTTATAGAATGCCACGCCATGGTCCTGTTAGTAGTATATGAATCCTATAAATTCAGTTGTAGTGATAGTCTAATCACTACATTCATACTTATACAACCTGATACATGTTTGTATGTTTTCCATTCTCCACAGGCTTCCAATCGGGATCCATCTTCTGGGATGATAATGACACGAGAAATCATAATTTTCAGGGCGGAACTGTACCAGACGGCCAGTACGATGCCGATACAAGAATAGATTTTTGTTGTAGGTAAGTATCCAATGATAAATACCAGTATGATACCAAAACAGGATCAGTTTTCTGTCGTAGGGTAAAATATTACATTATAAATGATACCAATACAGTTTTCTGTGTAGTTTACAGATTTAAAATCCACCCAATAACTCGATCAGACAAATCTACACAACAACCGATTTAATAATATATAATAATTCATTAATATTATTAATAATAAAATAATATTAGAACAAATACAAGTTTGAATATAAAAAATTACAAATTATAAAATACTATTAGGGGAAATGTGTATAGGTACAAATATAACAACTTTGATTATAATCAATGTACAAGATATTACTTACAGTATTCTTCCAGCTTTATCAGTATTCGGTTGAAGTCTCCTTTTCTCTCAGCTCTGAAGTAGTCAGTTGTAGACAGTTCTCTTTAAGATGTCGTCTTGACGTCTACGTAGTAACTCAATAATTGGCAGAATTAAACAGGATGAATAATCTTGAATCCGTCTTGGTAACAACCAACAACATGAATCCTAAACTTGGATTACAACAGAGAGATAATTTCTCGAAAAACCGTGAGATAAATCGAGAACATCGACCACGTGGTTACAAAAGATTCCAAAGGACGATTCTAGAAAGTTTGATTGCTAATAAACAATAGATTTCGATAAATTATCATAACCCTATCACTATCATAGTGTAAAATATTCCATTTATAATACCAGTGCGATACCAACACATGATCAGTTCTGTGTTATAGGTAAAATATTCAATTGATAATACGATTGTAGTAAATAACTTACTATATATGAGATGTTATAATTTTTAATAATAATAATCTTTATTCCAACTGCTTAATCAGTTAACACCATATCCTTTCCACCCCACTCTCTGTCAGCCCGTGATGTTACACCATATCCTTTCCACCCCACTCTCTGTCAGCCCGTGATGTTACACCATATCATTTCCACCCCCCTCTCTGTCAGCCCGTGATGTTAGTCCTATCAGTTACTCGCCTGGTAGTTATAGAGCGAGTGGCGACTTAAAGACGTTGAAACTGATTTTTATCATTCATAATTTCAGACAGGATGCTTTACCCACCCATGAAATCCTGCTACCAACAGAAAAACCCTTCATTTTGTTTAAATATACCCGAGAATGTCAGCATATAAAGGACATGGTTGTGAGGGAAGAATATATAGTATGGACAGATGACAATTACCACGGTCACGACAAGGTTACAGGAGCCCACCCTTTTGATGATGGTGGACACGATCTGCACAAATTACATTTTTGTTATTATGCTAAATCAGGTTCATCATTAATAGGATAAATGGTTTAACAATGTTCTCGATGACAATACTAAATGTTTTAAACCTTGAAAATAAAACTGTTTAAACCATTCTTCTTTTAACTAAAAAGACTATATTTCGCATCATCTTCCCGAAAGCGTATCCGTATTCCAATCCAGGGTACTCGGGGATTATTTGGTTATGATTATCGACCAGAATGTCAATGTAGTGCATCAGGATACGTATGCTTATCTTTGATAGAACACCGAATATACCTTCCTTTTTCTTAATACCTTTCCATTCTATTTTCTAATAAGGCGTGTTGTTTTACGTTTGGACTAACAAAGGTGGTATTGTTAAAGATCGTGACATGGACATGACATGACACTCTGTGTACTAGTCTCAAACTTGCTTTACTAAATCTCACTAGTTAGACAACCGACTCCAATATACTTAATAGTTATACGAAATTTGAGTTCAAGCATCATCACTGTATAAAACTATATGAAGCGATTTTAAAATCGAATAGACTAAATATTGTGACCTCTAGAGAGTTCACACGCTGTAAAACGAACGTGATTTTTCGTACAGTCAGGGACCATAAACCACGAAGTTACAATCTGACATGCACGAATATCGAAAAGAATCGTGATCTTTAGACATACCTAACTACTAGTTATCAGCTGTTCAGAAGTGCTCATAGTATAATCCCGATTGTGTAGTATCACTGCTCCGATAAACTAAGTCTCGATTGTGCAATTTCAATGACTCTCGTGTTTCAATCAATTGAAAACGACGCCCGCCCCCCCCCCCCTGATGTTCTAAAGAGTTGATTCTAAAACGACGATCCCCCCTGATATTCTAAAGAGTTGATAATGGGCTCGTCAAGTGAGGAATGTCTAAATAATTATTCATATAACATTTAAATCGTGGCCATACGATTGTCCTAAGAGTTGATTATAGGATTTACATGTAAATAAAAGTCCAATTTATGATTTGTACAGCATTGCAGACAAAAATCAAACAAGACATGCATACTGCTCCATGGTATTAAACATTTCATTCTATCGTAATATGTAATCTAGAAAGTACATTAGCAATGCATCAGTTAAATTATATTACAAGATATCTTGTTAGTTTGTTCATTAGGGCTGCCAGAAACTATATGATACTATTCTGGCACCGGCTTCAAAACACTAACGATCATGTTAATTCTGTGTCACAGGTCCATATTCCGTGGACATAAATATTCACACTTTACGTACTTTCAGTGATAAAACTTTATAAATACGTATTTGTGACGGTAATAAAATATACATACACGGCCCTGATATTCCACATATAGTATATAACACAGGCTGTATAAATCAGCTTCTGTCCTGAGTTGGTTGATATAGTAACCAACATTCATATATCTAAGGCCGGCTCAAGCTTTCATGGTTAAAAATATAACCGGGACCTTGCATCAACAGTGTAAGGGGGGAGGGGGTATTCATTCTGGTCACTGTTCGCCACACTCACACGCGTGTAATTTGTAATTCTGTATAGTAGATAGATAGGTTTATTTGGCGCAACATAAAGAATTATATTTATTTACGGTAGAAAATACTTATAGAACTAATATAATATTGAGGCATGCAATACAATTGGTCAGGTATGCTATATCCAATTATGTTATATGAAGATAGGAACAGATTGATGTAAATATGGCGGATGATATGGTGTCTTCAGCTAGTGATTTAATATGATTTTAGGGTCAAGAATAGCATCCATATTCCACGTTTTAGTCAAAGTGGCTTGCCAATATCCACATCGCACGTTTTAGCCATAGTGACTTCCCAGTATCCATATTGCGCGTTTTAATTATACGTCAGGCTGACTGTTAACTAAATCAACCCTACAATCGTTTGTATTCTGAATGTCTAGAGTTGGTCACTCCACAGATACAATAACAACTGTCTGACAAAGATGACAATGTATATTGTTTTGTATTATGACAATTTGTTGTATTTTAATTGATTTTAAGATAAATCATTTTATTACCCAGATGATACGATATGTGCTTTATTGACTCAACATGTGTCGTATAATAGTTCCGTGACATATCTTTCATTTCCACAGAGCACACATGGGTTGATTCAAGATGGCTGCACATGTTTCACACTTGTAATCGTGTTTGGATAATAATCAGTAGCATATAAAAATATCGTTTGTCGTTCTATGTCGCTGCCTTTATTTTCTACTTTTTGTTTCCTTGTTTGTGATTGTACATTAGACTTTGCACATATTCCTTAATGTTCATTCCATTGAACTAATTTATTTCTATGAGTCATAGGGGGGTGGATGGCTGAATGGTTAGCATGCGCGCGCTGTATCATAAAGTCTGTCATTGAGTCGACCGGCGTGGTTTCGAATGCCCGTTTGTACGTGGCAAGGAGTAGGGTCGCCTGTCCAACCTCGTGGGTTTTCTCCGGGTCCTCCGGTTTCCTCCCACTGCTAAAGACCCCTACGCACAAGCGAATTATGTAAATACAATTAAACCATATGTTAATCCCGAAATGACCTAGTTTGTGTCGAGTGGACGTTAAACCCCATTTCTCTCTCTCTCTCTTTCTCTCTCTCTATGAGTTATATGTATATATCACACTTTTCAATAAGGAAAGCTTATCCAATGTATTTGGCCGCTTTATCCATGTATATTTATTATAGATTACATAAGATTTTATCAAGTTTTGGATACGTGGATTATATTTATCTATAACATAAGTTTACCCATTGGCCAATGTTTGCAATACTTTGGAAGCTACTGTCAAATCCATTTGTTTTTATTTATAATTGAGATAAAAAAAAGAAAATAGTTTACAGTTTTAGTTCAAGGTTTAAACAATTCATATTGTAATCTAGTATAATTTATCCAATCAATGATGTGCCGGTTTTAGAATACTGACAAATGGTTAATGTGTGCTGGTGGGACCCACCACTATCCATTGGGTGAGCTCCTGTAACCGAGTCGTGATTATGGGACTCCTCGTCCACCCATCTCATATAATGGATAGTCGCTTTCATACCTGCTACTTGTTGACATTCCCTGTTATATTTAAGCAAGGTAAAAGGTTTTTCCGTTGGTAGCATAATTGCATGGGTTGGTAAGCTATCCGATCTGAAAATAATAATGATAAAAATCAGTTTAAAGTCCATGGGCCTAATGTGTCTAAGTCTTCAATACCCCAATAGGTTATTTCGGGACTAACATTGTACTAGTTTGCCCCTTGTATTTGGATGAACGACGGATAACAATTGAGACTCTCCCAACACGTCAGAGAAACATACAAAATACTACTTTCTGGATCTTCCGAACTTACCAATGCTACCAACTTTTCCATATTTTCAATAGTTCACAATTTCATAGAAATTACCAAACGATATTAATTGGTTAAGTAATTTTATATATGTTACACACTAGCGGGATATTATTGAAAAGTTATTATGTCAGTTGTGACACATGAAAGCGGGATTAATGAAATATTCTTATCATGTCAGCAATGACACGCGAAAGTAATATAATAATAATAATAATAATTCATTTACATAGCGCCAACAATTCAACTCGTAGAGCTGCTCCTGGACGCTTTAAATAGGTACCAATAAAATCACATCAATCATAGACATTAATCAATGCAAAAGACATAATCGTTACAAAGCACATAGAACATGGTTTAATACACCCGTATTGAATCAGTTGTATGGTTGATTAAAAAGTTAATCTCTCATTGCCAGATTATTGACCCATTACCAAATGGTTAGGCTGAGTTCTATAATGTCAGTTGACGTGTAAAAGTAATTTGTACAGAAAGCTTATCTGACATTATGTAATGGTCCAGTCGTGTATTCGTTTTGACATTCTTTGATTCCGGAGCCACACACCCAGCACGTGTCTGTAGCTGACACTTTCTACCCAATCGGAGCATAGTCCATCCTCGAATGAAAATTATTCAATCAGGTCACATTGTATGGGTGTGGGTGGGATTTTTGAGGTGGGGGAGCTGACCAGGTTCAAGGGGTTAAAAGTGAGGATCTAAACGACAGATCAATGCTCCACTATGAACTGAAATCTTAGCTCTTGATTTTAAGCAGAGCCTCGATCATCATTTTAAATTCGGTACGATAAAAAGCATAGTCTCGATTATCCAATTTTGGATTCAATGATTGATGAGTTGATTATGGTTTGGATAAGTTAATTCATTTTTAATAAATAGTTTATTTCAGGTCCAAAGAACGAGCTGAGATAAGCAGATTTAACTCTCGTATAATGTATGTTTAATAATATTAGAATAAATTGACATTAATATAGGGAACTATATATTTAGTTACAATGGAAGGAACTATTGTTGCAGGAGAGTATGCCCTGTATGATTTAATATAATAGAGATGACAAATGTTTAAAGATTTAATACCATGTATTATTTTTATAAATTTTGTAATTTGTTTTAATTGTTCTGTGCTATGTTACTGCTGTGCCCTTCTTTTTCTTTTCAGGTAATTTTTATCTGGGGAGAGTCTGCCTATAATTTTTAAACGCTGGAGTTGTGAACCGCTTTAAAGGACATTTAATCGTTAACTGTATGGAACGTATTAGACGAACGTTTTTTGATATATAAATAATCCACGGGTGCGGCTATGTTTCTTGTTTCCAACGGTTTTTTTTTCTATCCGCGCTGATGACGCCAAATGTCAGTCAGCTGGACCTCCTGTTTTAATCCACCCACTCCGTCTTCATTAGCCCAGTTCGGAGCAGAACAGTAGGACGTTAAACCCTATTTCATTTCATTTTTTATTTTTAATTCACCCTCTCTGCACTACAGCGATTTTATAAGTGTGTTTTAAGGTGACTTGTTGATGTACAAGGGCTTTTTTATTTTGCGTTTTTAGGTGTAAATAATTTAATTAAATCAACCTGTCCATAATATCATATATAGTGTATTGGACGTTAAATCTGTAAAAAACAACAACAACGATAGACGGTCAAGTTAAGAATAAGATTTTGGGATCCCATAAC